ATTTGCGTCTCCAAATTTTTTATTACAGCACTTTGGTCTTGGAGAGTTGCGTCTATCTTTTGCATAAACTAGTTGTTGGCCTCCATATACTGATTAGTCGTTGCCATGAACTTCTCAAACATCTCCTCCAATGGTGGCTTTTTATCCTGCTGCTGAAATTGACCTTGTGGTCTATTTTGATTCTGATTACTACATGAGAAGTTTGGGTGTTGTCTCCAGCCCTGATTGAGGGTTTCCAAATATAGATTATTCTGTTGACATTGACCCCATTGCACAAAATCTGCATGTTCGATCCCCTGTGTGAGAATTGGACAGTTGACAGTATTGTGGTCTGCTCCACATTCTTCACAACTTGGCTTCTTGACTTGTCTTGCATTGGCGGTCTGTGAAATGCTCTCCACCTTATGGAACAAGGAGTCTATCTTTGCGGATAATACTGAGTAAGTATCTACTTCATAAACCCCCGGCATTCTCTTTTGAACCACTCGATTTGTAGACCACATGGCCGAAGTTGTAGCCATTCTCTCAAACAGCTCCCATGCTCCGTCAATTGTTCTCATGGAGATTGACCCGTCGAATGATGAATCCACCATGCTCTTGAAGGATGGAAGTAATCCAGTGTAGAAAAATCGAATTTGTGTCTTTTTATTAAAGTCATGCTGAGGACACTTCCTTAACATATTTTTGAAACGATTCCATGCCTCTTCAAATGATTCGGACTCACCTTGGTTGAATATAGAGATGTCATGCCACATTTTTGCTACCTTAGCTGGTGAGAAGAACTTGGTGCAGAATTTGTAGGCTAGCTCATTCCAAGTGGTGATGCTTGCGACGGGAAGTGAATCCAGTCATTCAAGTGCTTTATCCCGCAAAGTGTGTGGAAACAATTGCAGTCTTATAGCATCGTCTGAGATACCCTGGTACGTAAAGTGTTGGCACATGTCCAGAAATCGGGATATGTGTGTATGTGGATTCTCATTAGCCATCCCGTGGTATTCATGCACATTCTGAAATAGTTGAATTACATTTGTTTTCAGCTGGAAGTTCGGTTGTCCAAATGGAGGATACACAATGCTAGTTGACTCTGGACCACTAACGGTGCCATGAAGTCCCCAAGTACCATATTCCCTTCATCTTCAACCACCACGCCTTCGTTGAGTTGAATTACCAGACGATTTTGCTCGTTAGCCATCTGTTGTACCGCTCTTGCTTCTCTTTGCCTATGACGAAATGTGCGTTCGATCTCTGGATCAACGGGAACCAAATTTTGATCAGGTGAGCTTTGCATACAAGCCCTGAGATAGCAAAATAACACAAAATTAAATTAAAGTAAACAATAAACTAAGTCTAGTAAGCTAACTACTACTAATCTAGGTAAGTTCGAATTAGTGTCACAATAGATAAAATTAAACTAAATTTCAATCCCCGGCAACAGCGCCGAAAACTTGTTCACGAAATTATTTCTTCCAATTTAAAATTCATCGCAAGTGTACGGTTCGTTAACAAGTAATAAATGGATTATGAGTACAAGTATCGATCCCACAAGGATTGAATTAATTCAAATCAACCTATTATGACCTTAATCGAAACACGAAAGTAAGACTTATGTATTGTGATTTAACTAAGGAAGATGTGAACTATAATGCAATTATGAGTGAGAAACTTATATTAAATGCAAAATAACCTGGATGCAATCTACAAGAATTTATGGAATTAATGAATTACTAATGCACTAGGATCACGAATTCCCAAGCAACACCCATTCAACCTTTAATTATGCAAATTTGACATATATTCCCACAATTGATGAATCAATATTCCTATTTTAATATAGCAATCTCTCTCGAGCAATGCCAAACCTACCCCAATATGTGATTTGACTATATCTCTATGACGAATACTAACATAAGGAACACATTACGATTTCATGAATATTCAACAATTCACACAAGGCATAGAGGTATATTTCTATCCCCTATCAGACCCTATGATGATTTTTACTATGTCGAGCCTATTTTTCTTCTTTCGAATGCATAAAATAGGCCACCAAAATCATATAATTACGTGCTCAATAATAATATGGAAATAAAAACGTATAAATCATTCAATTTCGAAACATGTGCTTAAATATGTCAAATCTCCAAATCAAAAATTAAAAGTAGTATTGCAAGGTTCATCGATCTCCTAGTAATGAAAAATCTAGTCTATCATGCTAAAAAGAAGAAAATACAAAAATAGTTGAAGAAACGTCATCATCCGAATCAAGTTTCAATTAAATCTTCAATTGGCGTGATGTTTTTCTCTTGTTCTCTCTTCGTTTTCTCCTTCAAAATCTCCATTTTTCTTGTAAAATTGGCGTCCCCTTCGTTCTGGACGTCTTTTGATATTTATATCACGTGAAAATTTTGTTACAAAAAGAGTTTCAATCGTACAAGGAAAGTAAAATTCTCGCATCGGAAACCTATCATGCGACCGCATGATTATGCCATGCTGCATCCAGAATTTCCTGTCGTCACTTGTGCGACCGCACGGGAGTTCTACCATGCAGCCGCATGGTAGACTCTAACTTCCATTTTCTCCAATTTGGTCCCTCTACTTGAATTTTTCACTTCTTGGCATCTTTTCTTCATTCTTTCCATTCCATCATCCCAAGATATCATCAATTGACATTTGGCTTAATCAATTTCTTGATTTGTTCATCAGGTCAACTTTTGGATAATTGCACCTTGATCCCTGAACTTTCACTTTACGTCATTTTAGTCCTTTTTCGTGTCTTTTCTCCTGAATTTCACCATGTTCATCGATGTTCCCTACAATCACAAATGTAACGAGATTAAGTCACAATTCAATCATTTTGCTCGTAATTAAGTCATGTTTGTGACCTAACTAAGTGTGCAAAAACACACTTATCAGATTCTTCTATTAAAAAAGAACCATGAATATGCATGCTTTAGTGAGGGTGACGAAGAGGGAAACAATGAAATAGATAGACACAAAATCAGTACTAACAGATTTTGATAGACTTCCAAAAAATCTAATAAATCTCAATCCAATTATAAATTTCAATCATTTTATTCTTAATTTCTTCACTTTCTTTCATTGAATACACTCGAATCCAGAGCTAGTTGTTCTCCTCAAAATGTGTAGACCCCGGTACCAAGGGGTATCATATCCCCCCAAAACAACGTTCTCTTTCAGGCCTTTCAACCAATCGATCCGACCCTGGAGGGTCGCTTTTGCTAAAACTCGAGATGTAGATATCTAAGGATAAAACGTTGTTGTGGTGTGGGCCACGTTGACTCGACAAGATATTTTATTTCAATTTGTTCAGGGTATTATTTATTGGTTCTTGATATATTATTAGAGCCAAAGCGCTTCGATCTTGTCTTCGTCTATTGCCTCATTTCATTGTCCACACTCCACAACATAAAAATTGTGAGACCGCTCCAATCAATAAATTTGACATATATATTTTAAAAAAGTAATCATAACCCTTAATTTAAGCTAATCTAATAGTCTAGATCTATTAATATTTTATCGAAGTGTGTTTAAATGTGGGTAAATAAATATTAAAATGACTTTATATATTTAGTCTGTCGCATTAACTTGAGATATGGGCTATAATTTTCCCACTTACTAGTCAACAAGAAATGACCCCACCGTTGTTTTATATGATGCAGAAGTCTAGTTTAAATTTAATTATTAAGTATTCAAAAATAAATTGATTGATTTTAAATATTTTTATAAAACGAGGATACGACTCGGGAGAGTCCAAATGGGATTCCATTGTGGACTCTCCAATAGAACAAAGCCACTTGTCTAGGCTTAAAAACAGGGAAGTGAAGAGACAGATTGATGTGTTAAAAATGATTGGATGCTTTTATTTTAATTTTTTAAATTGTCCAATCATGCATCGACACGTGTCACATCTGAATTTGAGTCTAGATTTGAGTTTGAATGTGTAGCATGATTGCTCTCCAATAATGCTTTATAAGTGATGGGGGATGACACCTGCCAATCCCGAGCTCTCCAAAGGTGATTCTTTTTCTCCTTTTTTTTTTGGAACACGAATTTTAATTTTCTATTTATGAATCTAGATTTCTAACTAGGAATCTCAATGTGTTCACACTCGTGTCTTTTTTGTAATGGAAAATAGGTTGGAAGATTGGTAGTGATAGTCCAAATCGGAATAATGAGCCAACTACTTTGACCTCCTTTCAAAGGTAATTACTTTAGATTATAGTAGTTAAATGAATATTTTGCCTTTTCTTTTTCTGCTTTGATTTGTTCCATTTTTGAAATTCATTCTAAACTATTTCATCTCGTCTGGTTGTCTTTATTAGAATTTTCTTGCAAAATTTTCTACATTACTTATGAACGAATGCAACTTTTCTACTATTTAGCGATGCAAAAAGTTAAAAGTTGGTAATATACTGAAAATTTTTAAATAATAATAAAGTTTACAATTGTGGGTTTTTCTAAAACTAAATTGTGGGCCAATTTATGAATATGTGTGTTCGGTGTAACCTCATAGAGAGTCAGATACGTCAAATAATTAACCCAAAACTTCATAGCCACTTATCAGTCTTATTCCTATCAAGAAGAAGAGGACACATAACAAAACCAAATATTGCGTTGCTTCCAGGAAGATTCTTTTTTCCACTTCAGATAGGTAAAGTGAGAATTAAACATAGAAAAATGTACCCGGTCGTGTGGACAATTCATTTTTCCACTTCAGAAAGGTACATTGAGAGTCAAACATAGAAAAATGTACCCCGCGTTTACAAGTCCGGTTACCCGTCCCTCACGTAGAGGACGGGTCCCACACATTTATGTGCTCGAGCTCCGCCCCCCATGTGAGGGGCATGTAACTGGGCGTGTAAACGCTTGGGTACATGTAGCGAAGCTCACATAGAAATATTGGTGGTGACTGTGTCAAAGATTGAAAAAGTGAGCCAATAACTTTGATCACATTTCAAAAGGTAATTACTCTAGATTTTTTGAGTTATTTTCATTATACAAATATATTTCAATCTCCAGAAGCTTTAGTTTTACTGATCACTGTCAATGTTCGGCAAGACCAATCTTCAAGCTTTTACGAACCTAAGCGGCCAAGGAGTAGAAAAGCATAAAGAGTGGTTAGGGAGTTCAAACATTATTTTTTTCAATTGATATCAGACAGAAAATTTGTTCAAATCATACAAAATGAGACTGCTAAGATTGAACAAAAATTTGTGATCAGTTCTTCTATTTCATGAGGTTTTTGATACGAGAAATGGTCGTATTCTCAATATTGTATTTGTTCTCTGGCGATTCCCATTTTGATCGGAAGTCAAATATTTTTTTGACTCGATTGCAAAAGGCCTTCATTTATGGTTTTTGATTATGTAACAGTTATAAAATTGGCTGAGATGGCATTGTCTGAGATTCTCAATCGACAGCCAGCGAAGAGAACAGTCGCCTTTTCTCTTGTCATTCTGGTTTCAATAGCCGCAATAACCAGAAGGATCAATGTTGTAAGTCTATTTTGTTTCATCTTTCATTGTAAATTTTCCGTTTTCTTTTGCTTCTTTTTATTGCATATTTGGTACATTGGATTAGACACGTCCTTAATCATGGATGGACTTTTAAGAGACGGATTTTTGTTGCGAGTGAGAGTCAAGAGATTACTTCATACTTATCTTCTTCATTATAAGGAAAACCACAGTGCAATATCGTCTAGTACTCCGTATTTCTGCCTTGTTCTGATGTTTCAATCTTTCAGTCTATAATGACAGGTCCATTTCAGAAGAAATTTCTACTCCGCGGAACATCTCAGACATATTCATCAGAATTTGATTGTTCCCTCAACTGTTCAGATATTTCACCTTTGACTAGTACAGACAACAAAGAACCCTCAGAATCATGTCCAGAATACTTTAAATGGATTCATGAAGATTTAAAACCATGGAAAGTTACAGGAATTACAAAGGAAATGGTCAAAAAAGCGAAAGAAAGAGCACATCTAAACATAGTCATTATGAACGGGAGAATGTATATAAGAAAGTTTAAAGAGGCATTTCAAACTAGAGATACTGTGACAATATGGGGGATTTTGCAGCTTCTTAGGTTTTACCCTGGGAAGCTGCCAGACTTGGATTTAATGTTCGAATGTGGTGACGTACCGAAGATCCAAAAACACGATTACGCACGATCAAATGCTTCGTATCCTCCCCCGCCTATGTTTCATTACTGTGGAGATGACTCGAGTTTTGATATCGTTTTTCCCGACTGGTCCTTTTGGGGTTGGTAAATATTTTATCTTCTCATAATAATCTGTCTTCAACAATCCCCTGCTTCAGATTCTTTATTTATTTATTTTATTTTTTTTGTCAAAGACCTGACACTTGCATATAATTTTCATATATGAATGACCTTAAGACTCAATAGACAAAGTGTGTTTTGTTGATTATGCAGGCCAGAACTTAATATCAAGCCGTGGGAAATCTTGAAAAAGGACTTGCAAGAAGGCAATAGTAGAATTAAATGGAGTGACAGAGAACCTTATGCTTATTGGAAAGGTAATGCCATGGTATCCGCTGTGAGACACGAGTTAGTGAAATGCAATGCCTCCGAATGGAATGCTCGAATTGACCAAGTGGTAAGAATGATTTCCTATCTTTCACGTAAAGGACACATAGGATTTTCATCAGCGACTGATGATGACTAGAATTCAGAATCTTTACCTATTCTAATACCTTGTTGTGATAATCTCCATAACTCGGAAGTATTGGAAGAATTTCTAAACATCAGAAGAACAAGTTCTTTCTTTGACCTTGCAGAAAGAGTCTTCCATTTCATGAGATTCAACGATCCTTGTCTTCCGATAACATTCACTCATATTCCTAGTAGATTGTTGCATACTCTGTCATAGTCATGGGCGGATCTACAATGGTCCACAGCCCTCATAATAAATTTGAAATGCAAGATTTTACAGTAGATCTTTTAAAATTTTGCGCAAGATTTGGACCAAAAAAAAAAAAACCCTTATAATTTCGATTTTGCTCTCACAATTAAAATTTTGAGAAATTTACCCCCACAACTCTACTCTCTTGGCTCCGCCCCTGGTCGTAGCGGTGTAAATATTCCGCGTTGCCACCTTTACAACCCTACTTAGATATGCGGATAACTTCTATGTGCAGGATTGGGGACATGAGATAAAACATGGATTTGAAACTACAGATTTAGCAAGCCAATGCACTCACAGGTATGCATGAATTTCGCATAACTTTCTTAATTAATCTATTTTTCACTATTCTTTACTAATTTAATTTCTTCATATGTATGATCATATGCAGATACAAAATTTATGCTGAAGGAGTGGCATGGTCTGTCAGTGAAAAATACATCTTAGCCTGTGATTCTATGAGTCTGATGATAAACGCTCATTACTATGATTTTTACACAAGAAGTTTGCTACCCACAATCCATTATTGGCCAATTAATGAGAAAGATAAGTGTAAATCAATCAAATTCGCAGTCGAATGGGGCAACAAACATATGAATGAGGTGACTTTCTTGTCTATCTATACTAAACACATCCCACATTTTTTGCGAATTTATTGTACTATGAAAATCGATATTTAACATCCATCACTTAATGCCCAGCTAGAGAATGTCGAGAGATAGAGAGTAGAAGGAGAAGAGAGGTGACAGAAAACGAGATAACTTGAGAAATAATAATAATTGCAATTAGACTCGATAGCTTGAATGGCTAAGCTTAAAATGTTTACTTACAAGTAAGTCTACATACATGTAACATAAAAAATTTATAATAGAATTTTTGCAGGAAAGAACAACTTCCAAGAAAGTGACTTTTGTTACTTTAAAGCAAGAAAAAGTAATTTACTCAAATTTAAGCCTCTTAATCTTTCCTCCTAAATCTCTACCGTGTTCTCTCTTTGCCTTCACACACTCTCTCTCTCTTCTAATTTCTCTTTCCTTTTCTGCATCAAGGGCTAAGAACCATCTAAAACATCGTTATTTAAAGTGAGATACGACACGAGAGATTCTTAGCCTTCTGTTAATTTTTTGACTGTCGAACTGTCTTCAGGCACAAGAGATTGGAAAAAGAGGGAGCAAATATGTTCAAGAACAACTAAGGATGAAATTTGTTTATGACTACATGTTTCATTTGCTAAATGAATATTCTAAACTTCTGAAATATAAACCAACTGTACCAAAAGGGGCTGTTGAAGTGTGCTCAGAGACAATGGTTTGTTCTGTCGAAGGTTCAATGAAGAAATTTAGGATTGATTCGATGGTGAAAAATCCTGCAGATTCATCTCCATGTACAATGCCCTCTTCCTATTATCCTGCAGAACTTGAAAATTTTCTTGAAATAAAAGAGAATCTAACTAAGCAAGTGAGAATGTTGGAAAGAAGCGAAAGTGTTGGAATCCCAACCATGAAAACATGAGGGGTTGCAAAATGGTGCTTTGGACTTCTCATTATAGTAGGCACGATTTGAAAATTTTCTTTTGAGATTATTTAATCAATTTCAATACTACGTACAAAATATGCCATAATTGTTCTAAGTTGTTCTTCTACTTTATGTGCGTGCATGGGTGGGGTTGAGTGGGTCTACTATTTCTCGATTTGCTTACTATTTCCGTTTAAAACAAGTATATGATCTCTATAGATCAAAATCTACAAGATTATTGGACTTTTACTACTCAAATTTAAATTTTCAAAGTGGTTACTAGAGGTTTTTTTTTTTCCTTTTATTTTTTTTTTTATCACTATTGCTAACTCAAGTTAATAATGGGTACACTAATGGTTGCTCCACTAGAAACATTAATAAAAAAATTCCATGTGACATTGCAATGCCAATGTGGATACAAACGACCTTAACTAGTATGCGATGCCAAATATAAGTAAAAATTTGATAGAAATTAATTGAAAAAATTCCTTTAAATATAAAGTTTTATATGTGCAATTGTTTGCACATGTGAATGTTTAATGCTGTTGATCTCCATCCGAATCTCGTTTGTGCCTATGTTGGTATTTAACTGTGCTACATAGGATTTTTTGTTAATGTTTTTAGCCGAATGATAATAAACTTGAGTGGCAACTATGATAAGAAAAATACTTTAATTACCATTTTGAATTTTTTAAAAAAATTGTTGACCAGTGATCGTTGCTGAAATTAACCCTTTTACTACTCATTCTCACATTTCAGATCCTTTTTTTTTCTTTTTTGTGTGTGTGAGTGTGTGATTTTATTGTTAATTTTCATAGTTGGATGTTAATGGAGATAAGTGTAAATGAGATGACAATGATCGATTAATTAAATGTATTTAACCATTCCACATTGTTTTTTATTTGGGAGATCCATATATTAGAAAAAGAACCATGAATATGCATACTTTAGTGAGGGTGATGAAGAGGGAAACAATGAAATAGATAAACATAAAACAAATACTAGTAGATTTTGATAGACTTTCAAAAAAATCTAATAAATCTCAATCCAATTATAAATTTCAATCATTTTATTCTTAATTTCTTCTCTTTCTTTCATTGAATACACTCGAATCGAAAGCTAGTTGTTCTCCTCAAAATGTGTTGACGTTGAAGTTAGGGGTGGACAAAATGTCCTAATCAAACCAAACCAAACCAGAATCATATCAAATCGAGCGGTTCAGTTCGGTTCCACAAAAAAAATGAATGGTTTTGGTTCTTTGTACCGAAAACCATTTGGTTTCGGTTCTAGTTTGATTTTAGTTCTAGAACTGAGTACCAAACCAAGGACCAAACTTAATTTATAATTTTATTTTTATATGAATCTAATCTTATTTTTGTATAACCCATTAAGGGTATTACTTCAAATTTAAAACCTAAAGAGTCCCAAATGCTGCCCTGCATATCCCTCAAACGAAGCATGTAGGTTTGGTGGTTTCATGTAAAGGAATTGATTGGATGAAGGATAAAGATGAAATTTGATATTATTAACTTTTGGCAAAGAAGCATTTGTTTATATTTTGTTTGTTAGTTTGAACTTTTGAAATATTGATGATTAATAATTTGAATTTGCTAAATGTTTGGTGCTTATATTTTTTATTTAAATATATATTACTAACTTGTGTATATGCTATAACTCTGAAATTTGAAGTAATAGAACTAGAACCAGACAAACCAAACCAGAATAGAGTGGATTGGTTCGTTTTGGTTCCATACCTTTAAAAAAATCATTTGTTTCTATTACCAAGAAAACCATTGGTTTAAGGTTCGGTTCGGTTCGATTCTCTTCTCTTAGAATCAAAACCAAATAGAACCATGACCACCCTTAGTTGAGGTGTAGATATCTAAGGATAAAACATTGTTGTGATGTGGGCCACGTTGACTCGACAAGATATTTTATTTCAGTTTGTTCAGGGTATTATTTGTTGGTTCTCGATATCTCATTAGAGCCAAAGAGTTTCGATCTTGTCTTCGTCTATTTCCTCATTTCACAGTTCACATTGCACCAATAAGTCTATTGCATGACACTTCTTCATCAAGATAAACAATGTGAGACCACTCCTATAAATAAATTTGACATATAAATTTCAAAAAAATAACCATAGCCCTTAATTTAAGCTAACCTAATAGTCTAGATATATTAATATTTTATTGAAGCGTGTTTAAATGTGGTTAAATAAATATTAAAATAATTAGATATATTTATCTGTCTCATTAACTTGAGTTAAGGGCTATAATTTTTTGTCAAACTTATTAGTTAACAAGAAATGATCCCACCGATGTTTTAGATGATGCAGAAGTCTAGTTTAAATTAAATTATTAGGTATTCAAAAATAAAATGATTGATTTTAAACTAGGTTAAGCCCCGTTTGGCCCTCTTTCTTTCAAATTTTAATGTTTGGAATAGTATTTTTGTTGGAGAATACGTGATTGAAAAAAAAAAGGAAAAATTTTGATTTACATGTAATATTATTTTATGAAAGATTATGTGGTTGAAATTAAGAGTGAGAAGAAAAAATTGAAATAAAGGGAGCCAAACGGGGTGTGTATGGGAGGGGAGGGGGTAAGAATTATTATAAAATGAGGATACGACTGGGGAATGTCCAAATCGGATTCCATTTTGGACTCTCCAATAATGCTTTATCCCGAGCTCTCCAAAGGTAACTCTTTTTCTCCTTCCTCTCTCCTCCATTTTTTTTTTTTTTTTGGTGAACGCAAGTTCATCTTTTAGTTATTATTATTTTTTAAATTTTCTATTTACGAATCTAGATTTCTAAGTAGGAATCAACGTGTTCGTACTCTACTCGAAAATAGCTTGAAAGATTGGTGGTGATCGTCCAAATTGTAATAGTGAGCCAACTACTTTGATCACCTTTCAAAGGTAATTACTCTAGATTATAATAGTTAAATGAATATTTTGCCATTTCTTTTTCTGTTTTGATTTGTACCATTTTTGAAATTCATTCTGAACTATTTCATCTCGTCTCGCTGTCTTTATTAGAATTTTGCTTGCAAAATTTTCTACATTACTTGCGAACGAATGCGATCTTTCTACTATTTAGCGATGCAAAAAGTTAAAAGTTGGTAATATACTGAATTTTTTTAAATAATAATGAAGTTTACATTTGTGTGTTTTTCTAAAACTAAGCCCCCGTTTGGTTCTTATTTTTCATCTCAAAAAATCAATTTTTTGATATTTTGACTTCTTCTCTCATAAATGGGATCAACTTTTCTCTTTAATGATTAAAAAATCAATTTTCATAATCACAACCAAACACGCCTTAAATTACTGAGAGAAAATCAATTGAGAATTAGCTTAGAGACAATTGGCTTCGTGTCAAGCCGAGCACGACATGTAAATATTTACATAATTCAAAACTCTTCATAATATCGACTATGCCAGACTACTAATGATTTTCTTAGGCGGTCAGGACTCCTAAGTTTTTAAATATTATATATTTTTGCTTCTTCTTTTTTTTTTTTTTCATAATTAACTGTAATTTTAAAAGCATAAATAGTTTGACAAATTTAATTTATCAAAGAAAATAACCACCAATAAATAAATTAATAAAAATGTAAAAGTTAAATACTCTATTACGAAAAAATAAAATTAGAAAGCTTAAACCGTCTATTATCCCTGGTGAAAGCCTACAGCGGTGTCATTAGTTGTTATACAGTTAATGACTCAACACCATTGGACGAAAATACATTGATAAGTTTGAATCACCAACAAATATTGATTTCAATCGAAATTATCGATCTTTGCACTATCCTCTATCACCAAAGGAATTTTCATCGGACTCTTAATTATTTTCATTATTTTTCCTCTGCCATATATCCTAAGACACTCAGATGATAAGCAAGATTTATCAATCGAGATCAGCTCACTTTAACACATGCATTTCAAGTCTCAGCTCCATCAAATTGAAGGAGGATCTTAATACCAAAATGACTTCTGAAACTTGTCATCTCAACTATATATCACTAAATCCCCATTTTGACATCAACAAGTATGACATTTTTTGTTTACGAATATAATAAAAACAAAAAAAAAAGAAAAAAAAAGAGGAAACTATACTCTATATTAGTGAATAACTATGATTTATCCTCACTATTCTCTTCATTTTGTGGCCTACCTAATCCTAGATTAAAAAAATAAAATAAAAAATCCAGATGGCAACAAACCCCACAATCTCTCAATCATTTATATACAATACAACCAAAAAAATAAAAAATAAATTGTGTGGCCAATTCTAACCTAATCCCACAAGAGAAACAAAAAAAATTCAAATGGATCCAAATAGTACATGTTGATTGAGTAAACAAAAAGATTATCAAACATAATTGGATTTAATAATTTTTTGTTTCAATTTGTTCAGAGTATTAATTGTTGGTTCTTCATATTTCATTAGAGCCAAAGAGCTTCAATCTTGTCTTTGTCTATTTCCCAACTTAACATTTCACATTGCACCAATGGAACTATTGCATACCCCCCCCCCCCCCAACGGAACCCGTAACGGGTGTGCACTAGGTAAACCCTCGGACTGACGTAATAGCCTGTAAATCACGTCAGCCAGGTAACATAACCTCTCTTCATATAGACAAACATTGTTAGATACTGTTCCTCTACCATTGAATTTGACATATATAATTATTAACAAATAATTATAGCTATTAATTTAAACTAATCTAGTAGTCTATATGTGGGTAAAAAATATTAAATTGATTTTATAAATTTAGTCTATCACATTAACTGGAGTTAAGGGCTAGGATTTTTTGTCAAATTTATTAATCAACAAAGAATGATCCCAACATTAATGTAGAAGTCTAGTTTATATTAAATTATACGGTATTCAAATTGATTAATTTTAAAACTAGATTAAGAATTATATTTTAATAAAACAAATTGTGATATATGAGAATACGACTTGGCAGAGTCCAAATCGGACTTCATTTTGGAGTCTCCACTAATGCTTTATAAATAATGGGGATGTGCATGCCAATCCCAAGCTCTCCTACGGTGAATCTTTTTTTCTCTCTTTCCTTCTTTTTTTTTTTTTTGTGTGAACACAAGTTTTTCTTTTAATTTTTAATTTTTAATTTTTTTTAATATTCTATTTATGAATCTAGATTTCTTAGTAATCAATGCACATTTTATAACTTCATGTCAAGCCGACCGAGCACGACATGAAATTATTTATATAATTCTAAACACTTCAAAATTTCGAATATGGCGAACTACTAATGATTTTCTTAGTTTTTTTTTTTTATATAATTAACAGTACTTTTAAAAGCATAAATAGTTTAACAAAATTAATTTATCCTTTGAATATATTTTCACTAAATAAATTAATAAAAATGTAAAAATTAAACCGTCGACAATAGTTGGCGAAGCCCAACAACGGTATGGCTAATAGCAATTCCGTACAAATCAATCTCACATTTTGATTTTCGTCAGAATCATCAATTGTTATACCGTTCGTGAGCGAAGCTCCGTTAGCCAAAAATAAGTCCGAATCACTAACAAATATTGATTTCAATTAGAATTACCAACCTTCGTACTATCCACGATCACCAAAGGAATTTTTGTCGGTGATCATTTGATCCATTAAATTTTTATCAACATTATTCTTGAAAACGGTCCCCTAATGTCTCAGCCATATTTTCTAAAATCGACAAATGATAAGCAAGTTTTAATAGGAGAGATCAGCTCACTTTAACACGAGTATTCAAGTCTCAGCTCCATCGAGTTGAAGGAGGATCTAATATCGAAATCACTTCTTAAACTTGTCATATCAACTATATATTATTAAGGACCATGCTTGTGGTACAAAGTGGTATCCAAAAAGTGTCCAATACCGAGACGCCAAGTGTCCATTTTGGACACCCTTTTGGACACCTTGATGTACCACAAGCATTATTCATATTACCGTTGTTGCAATAGTCACAATAACCAGATGGATCAATCTCAAATTTTGATTTTCGCCAGAATCATCAATTGTTATACCGTTCGTGACCGAAGCTCCGTTAGCCAAAAATAAGTCCGAATCACTATTGATTTCAATTAGAATTACCAACCTTCGTACTATCCACGATCACCAAAGGAATTTTTGTCGGTGATCATTTGATCCATTAAATTTTTATCAACGTTATTTTTGAAAATGGTCCCCTAATGCCTCAGCCATATTTCCTAAGATCGACAAATTATAAGCAAGTTTTAATAGGAGAGATCAGCTCACTTTAACACGAGTATTCAAGTCTCAGCTCCATCGAGTTGAAGGAGGATCTAATATCGAAATCACTTCTTAAACTTGTCATATCAACTATATATTATTAAGGACCATGCTTGTGGTACAAAGTGGTATCGAAAAGGGTGTCCAATACCGAGGCGCCAAGTGTCCATTTTGGACACCTCGATGTACCACAAGCATTATTCATATTACTAAATCCCAATTTCAATATAAAAAAGTACGACATTTTTTCTTACGAATATAAAAAAGAAGAAGAAAGAACCTAATCCACTGTACTCTATATTAGTCAAGAACCATAATTTATCCTCATTCTTCTCTTCATTTTGTGGCCTACCCAATAGTACAATAAATTTTTTTCCAGATGGCAACAACCCCATAATTTCTCAATCATCTATATATAATAAATGTTTTTTTTGTGGCCAATTCTAACGTAATCCCACAAAGGGCAAAAAAAAAAAAAAAAAAAAAAAAAAAAAAAAAAAAAAAAAAAAAAAAAATTTTTTTTTTTTGGGACAAATTAAAAAAAAACCAAAAAAAAAAAAAAAAAAAAAAAAAAAAAAAAAAAAAAAAAAAAAAAAAATCAAATGGATCCGAATAATTTATATTGATTGAGTAAACAAAAAGATTCTAAAACGTCATTTCATTTAATAATGTTTAGTAGAAATCATACAAAAGATTTCGAACAGAGACTGCAATCATATGTTGTAATACAAACTGACAAAACCTCGGCATTCCTCATCTCCTCTTGATTAAGACAAATATGTCATCAGAGATTCAACATTTCATGAGTTTTTTGATATGAGGAGGCCTTGATTAGATGCAATATATGAATTTTGATTGCCTGAAACAGTGGTAAATAGTCCGAAATGGTCGACCGAAGACAGGCCATAGGGGCCCAAACAACAGTTGTCTTTTCCCTTATCATCCTTGTTGCAATAGTCACAATAACCAGATGGACCAATTCTGTAAGTCATTTCTTGTTTCATCATTCATTGTAAAATTTCCGTTTTCTTTTGTTTTCTTTTGTTTACTTTTATTGCATATTTGTTACGTTTGATCAGACATCACTGAGTAATATTATTTTTGAATTGCGTAGAGCCTAATCATATTGTACTCTTGATCATGGATCGACCTAGTATCCTACTATATAAAGGATTTTTTAAGAGACCCTTTTTTGTGTATGAAAGAGTCGTGAGATTTCCTTCGTACTTATCTCCTCCATTATAGCGAAAACCGGCTGTGATAGAGTGGACTTATCTCTCGAATTATTGTCATTTACAGATCAATTAAGTAGATTAGGGCTATTAATGCCTATGCTTTAGCCTTGTTCTGATGTTTAGCTCTTTCAGTCTATGATAACAGGTTCATTTCCAAAGAAATCGATACTCCTCGGAACATCTCAGACATATTCATCAGAATTTGATTGTTCCCGCAATTGTTCAGACATTTCACCTTTGGTTAACATTAGTACAGGAAACAATGTACCCTCAGAATCATGTCCAGAATACTTTAAATGGATTCATGAAGATTTAAGACCATGGGAAGTTACAGGAATTACAAAGGAAATGATCGAAAAAGCGAAAAAAAAAGCACATCTTAACTTAGTCATAGTGGATGGGAGAGTGTATATAGAAAAGTTTAAAAAGGCATACCATACTAGAGATGCTGTGACAATATGGGGGATTTTGCAGCTTCTTAGAATGTACCCCGGGAAGCTACCGGACGTGGATTTAATGTTCGAGTGTGGTGACAGACCGGTGATCAAAAAACATGATTATGGAAGATCGAAGGCTTTGAAGCCACCCACACCTATGTTTCATTACAGTGGAGATGATTCAAGTTTTGATATTGTTTTTCCTGACTGGTCCTTCTGGGGTTGGTAAACATTCTCTCTTCTAGTAATACTCTTGTTGAAGCACATCATCTGAAAGTTTAATTTTATAGGCCAAACGCATTGAGCTTTATTATTGTTATTATGTTGAACTCGTCCCTTCATATGTAAATCAAATTCATTTTTCACCAAAGGAGTGCCACGCGAATTTCCATGTGAAAAGACTTGGATGCAACACTTTTGTATACTGATATTGAACAACCTCATCTAGAAATATAGCATAGTTTATCTTCAATGATTCTATCCTGGGGATTAATTGCATAAGATTTTTCAATTGTAATGCATTTCGTCATGAGCAATTGATTAATCAGGATTGAAACCACTTCATCTAAAAGTTTAAACTCCAAATTCAACAAGCCCAAACTTTGGATTCCCCCTTTTTTTACTCTCTTTCAGAAATGTAACGCATGCATAATTTTCATAAATTATTGACTGGGAGACTCAATAGCCAATGAATGTTTTGTTGATTATGCAGGCCAGAGCTTAATATTTTACCATGGGAAATCTTGAAAGAGGATTTGGAAGAAGCCAACAGCAGAATCAAATGGAGTGACAGAGAACCTTATGCTTATTGGAAAGGTAACCCCAGGTTGGGACTGGCAAGACGTGACTTAGTGAAATGCAATGCCTCCGACTGGAATACTCGAATTGACAAAGTGGTAAGAAAGTAATCCTGTACTTCTGCGCAGGATATGTTTAGTTTTACTCTGACAAGCGCTGCGGCCACTCATGCTGGCTCCACTAGAAATTTTTTCTTTTTTCTCTTATATAATTATATTAGGCAGCCGCCCACACTCACCTGGATTCCCGGATCCGCTACTGGTGTTGTGGGCAGGCACTAGAGGAATCTAGACAATTTGCACCCCTCACCCCGTTTACAAACCTACTTACATATGCTGATAATTTCACGTGCAGGATTGGGGACATGAGACAAAACATGGATTCAAAACTGCAGATTTAGCTAGCCAATGCACTCACAGGTATGCATTAATTTCACATAACTCACTTAATTGGTTTGTTTCTATTATTTTTTGCTGATTTAATTTCGTCTTACGATCATCATATGCAGATACAAAATATACGTCGAAGGAGTTTCATGGTCTGTCAGTGAAAAATATATATTAGCCTGTGATTCCATGAGTTTGATCATAAACCCTCATTACTATGATTTTTTTACAAGAAGTTTGCTACCAACAATCCATTATTGGCCAATAAATGAGCAGAGCAAGTGTGAATCGATCAAATTCGCCGTTGAATGGGGCAACAAACATATGAATAAGGTGACTTTCTTGTCTATGTATACTAATATCCTACCATTTTTTGCTAATATATTGTTGATCAGACATTGTCGCTACAGTGAAAACAGATATTTTGACTATCAATTGACAATGGGAAAGAGAGTAAGATACAGAAAACACAACTAGAACTAACTTTTTAAATTAAGTCCTTTGTACAGGGGATTGCCAGGGAGACAGGCGAGGCCTGTGCATTGGCCGGATAAAACTGTTTTCTGTTCAAAGTCCAATGAATGTACTCCGCCTTTCTTTTCGTAATGCAGTCTGACAATTCTCCCCGTACATGTAGCAGGGCTAGTTTTACTTAAAAACTTTAAAAGTAAGAAAATTAGTAACATATTCAAACATGTTTGGCTACCTTTTTGTTTGGTTACTTTTAAGCTAACTTAAACATGCTTTTCCTCCCAAATTCTCTCAATTTCTCTCTTCCGAGATAAAAACAGTCTAAAATAGCACTATACAAAATTCACATGCGACACAGAGAGACACTTATCTTTTGTTAACTTTTCGATGGCTGGCTTGTCTGCAGGCACAAGAGATTGGAAAGGCAGGGAGCAAATACGTTCAAGAACAACTGATAATGAAATATGTTTATGATTACATGTTCCATCTGTTAAATGAATATTCTAAACTCTTGAAATATAAACCAAGTGTACCATTACGGGCTATTGAAGTTTGTTCAGAGACAATGGTTTGTTCTGTCGAAGGTTCAATAAAGAAATTTAGGATAAATTCAATGGTGAAAGATCCTGTAAATTCATCTCCCTGCACCATGCCTTCGCCGTATTATCCTGCAGAACTAGAAGATTTTCTTGGAAGGAAACAGAATCTGACTCAGCAAGTTAGAACGTTGGAAGAAAGTGGAAATTTGGAATTGCAACCTTGAAAATATGAGGACTAGTTTGGTGCACAATACTGCATTGGACTGGACATTAAAAGTAGGCATCATATGATTTATTTTTTATTTTTTTTGTCCTTCCATTAAATATTTTTTGATAGTGTTCGATGCTACATACAAAACATACATTTATTGTTCTAAATTACTCTTTCTCCTTTTGTGTGTGCATGTGTATGGGTGAGTGGGTCATGGTTTGTACTTTTAATCGAGTCAATTTGATTTTGAACTAATGATACTTAAATTTTGGAAGGAAAGAATAATGGAAATGTCTACTAATCAAGTAGTTTCTGATATGCTGAGATCATATACTTGTTTTAAATAGAAAGTAATTTTTCTCGAGATTGTATTTGCTTTTAAGAATGTTTAATGACGGGTATTTTGAAATAAACTACGGAATATTATCTTTTATTGATCGCTCAACCACTTAATCTCCTATACAAATTTATAAAAGATTATAAATTCAATCAAAATCAAACATTAATTTTTAAGAACACACATTCATAAATAATATTCATTATTATTTACATTAAGACTTGTTGTTCCATATTAAGAATTAACGTTCCATTTTAAGAATTAACATTACATTATAATTCACATACTTTTTGAACATACATCTTAAGACTTGTTATCATATTAAGAATTAATGTTCCATTCAAGAAATCAAGTTTGTTAAGGGGAGCAACACAAACTTTCATAGTTAGTTATTTATTTTTTGTTTATTTGATATGAAATTTATCCTCTATTAATATAATGATGTAGGCAAAATTTCGAAATGATGGACGAGCAGATCGTTAATTCCAAATGAATATTGCTACAAAATTGACATGCTAGATTTATTTATTTTTTTATGGCGTCAAAAGATTCATAGGGTAACATATACTGAGAAATTTGGGCATACCCAGAATTTTAAGAAATTGAGAAGAATCCGCTATTCTATTTTTAATTCATGAACAACCAAATGAAACCATCGTACCCCAACATAGGGCTGAACAACAAAACTGTCAAACCGAACCGAAACCGTTTTCCTAAAATCGTTTGTTTGGTTCCACGTGAATCCGTCAACGTTCTGGTTTTGAACTGAACCAAACTGCTTCGAAGTAGTTTGGTTTAGGTTTCAATCTTTGCAAATCATTTCAAACCGCCAACCGTTCACCAAAAAAAATCTGAAAATAAATTAGTCTAAATTTTATTTAACCCAATTAAAACTCAATACATTTCAATTAAAAAGATACATCTACATTAGACATCATTCAATTAAACTCAAATCGACAATTATACATCTCAATTAATTAATTAATCATACCCAAATATTCATGAGTCATCACAATTTTGAATGTAAAGTCCTCAAATTGGGTAAAGTGTTGAACAACTGATACTAAACTATATTCATCGATTCTCCATTACAATTGAGTAGACAATAAAATCTAGATTTTAATTCAAACTTGCACATTTCATGTCCTTCAAATAATTTTCTCATATTTTTTGCTCCAAGTTCAAATTAAATTACCAAAATTCTTTTATTTTTTGGTAATTATTTTTATATTTTTATTGGTAATTATATTATTTTGTTCTAATAATTGTCAGTTTGTCGATCCCCCTTAAAGTAATTCACCAATATTTAGATTTAGTAGAAGATTTGAATGATTCACAAAAAGTCATAGTAGTTAGGTACTATTGTATTTGAATTTTTTTTATTCATTTTCTTTTATTAATTATTTTATATCATTTACCTATAATCAATGAATTTATGTACTATATTTTTATATTTATGAAGAAAATGAATCATGTATTATACTTGTAGATGAACGACATTGGTATCGACCGAGAGTTTAAAATATTTATATCATGTTGCATTATAATGATTATAATTATATAACTTTGATTTGTGATTTTTTAATAATACAATTTATGTTTTAACATGAAATTTTAGACTAATATTTATAATTTAACTTATTTGATTTATATTAATTTTTTTGTTAAACAGTGATTTTAAACCAAATCAAATCGAAAAAAATGGTTTGGATTGGTTTGGTTTAGAAATTGAAGTGGTTTGATTTGGTTCGGTTCGGAAAATTTTCATACCGCTTTAAATGTTTTGGTTTGAAAATTTGTCTCAAACCGTTCAAATCGTGTTCACCCCTGCCCAACATGTACATCACATGACATGGCAAGAAATCTCACCAACCAAATTAAAAATAAATAAATAAATAGATATTCTCCTATTTCTACATAAGCATGATGAAGAGATTTTGACAATTTTAATTCAATTTATCGTCTCTTTGCTCTGTCGCTAATCTATCTTTTTTTTAGTCCCTTTGTTTGCCCTTCTTTCTTACTAGGGGAGGATTTTATTTACACTATTTCATCAAATTAGAAGTTGACAAACAAGAACTAAAGGACGTTCTTTTACTATAGATAGCTATATCTCCTAGAAGATCTTGGCATCAAAGATCCTTTTTTTCCAAAGAAAAGAGAAAGACCCCACCGTGATGGAGTAGAAGGTGAGAGTACTTCTGACCTATTTTCGTACGTGTGATCGATCCAGGTTAATCTTCCTTACCGACCCCAATTCAACCTAGCACGACAAGAACAAATGCCCTAGTTCAACTCAGGTCTCACTATCGCTTTATGGTGGCACCATGCAAAGGTTAGAATGAGAGTGCCTCTTGCTCCTTAGCCCTTACCAAACTCTCCTACGTACCAGTAGACTAAATTATCTAGGCAAGCCTTCTCTGCTTTCCTGATAACAAAGCTATCGACCTTCTTCTGGTCAATGGCTCCCATTTCTTCCCAATGATCTTCCCTTTCTGTTGGGCACTTACATCAATCAAGCAATACTAAGCCAAGAGCTTTTCAAGGAATGCATCATGAGAATAAAGTTGCTTTAGTCAGACCAATGACTGCCGCTATCCATTTTAGGAAAACCTGGTTCTAAACCAGGCCCTTTCCTAGACTATATCAAAACTTGACTTACTATCGCTACTTTTTGAATGCTTCTTTCTAGAGAAATTGTAGTCTTTCGAGTATGCTTTAAGGAATGTTGTTCTTGCTCATAACCTCAAAGACCTATAAGGGAGCCTCCTTTTACATTTACAATGAGATTTAGACAAGGAAAGTTGTAAAGTATGCAGACTGATTCTATTATATTACGAAAATGAGATGCTACTAAAATGCTAATAGCTTTAACTCATACGAAGAAGGTACGACAACTATAGACAAGAAAGATAGAATTGAAACAATGCCCCCTTGGAAGGAACGCTGCTTTCAACCTCTTACTGACATCGATAGCTCCAAGGAAAAGAGTATCTTATGGCCATGACCAGCTAAATATCACTGCCATCTCACAAATTGGATTTGAACCAATATCTCAGAGCTTCTTCCTTTTAGTTGATCGGGATGGGTCATTGTCCTCCTCATTATAGTCCACCTAGAATCAGTAGAATTTCACTAGTCACCAACGATCACACTAAACTCCCCATCGCCGTTCTCCCATTTCTTTGGCTAAAGCTTCCTCCGCTTCATAAGTAGGAAACTTTGTTCTTGGAAGTTCGTTTATTAGTTCTCTTATTTTATTCCGCTTTTCGGGAAACGCGACTTTCAAGTCAAGTTTGCTTATTGCTCCTTAAAAGAAATTAGTTCAAGCTTTTCTATTTTTAAAAGAATAAACAAAGGTGAATAGTACATCTTCTATATCTTTTTGAGTTGGGAAAGGGCCCTCTTGTGGCTTAGAAGTAGGTGGACAATTTATACCAATAGGGTGGTCCAACTGTTATTTTTGCTATTTACTCTCGGACAATTCAACTTTATAGACCGCTGCCTCAATGAATTTGCTCTTCTAGTTGTGCAATCTTCCTCGGTTGCGAGAAGATTTAGATCGGGAATAGTTGGTTTCTTTGAAGAGCTGGGTCCGCTTCCACAAAAGGCGAAGGCAATCTCTCCATGGCAAAAAGAGAAAAAAATCCAGCAAGACAACAAAGCGACGCAGCAAGTCAAGCCCCAATCCTAGAGCATGCAAGAAATAAAAAGTATAGACATATTGATGTCCAACTGTCGAATGAATGGATCCATGAGTTGGCTTTTATTTTAGAGTCTCTATAGAATAAGCACCGTAAACTATTTGCCTCAAAACGATAGTTGTAAGAAACGAGTTCCTTACTCCACGAGAATGTTCTCATAAGAAATCATATAAATATAAGGCAAGTAGAGGGCCTTAGCTCACCGATTAGTCCTTGGAAAGATAAGTTGTGAGCAAAGAAAAAGCTCTTGCCACTATCGTTGTAACCACAGTTAGAGGATCGCCATAACCAACTTTATCTCTTGCTGAATATGTTCCCTCTTTCGATTGTGATTTCTCTCCTTCCTAAGTAAGTTGAATTTGATTTGTTGTTAAGCTCTTTCTTATCTTAGGACGAAACAGCAGAAAAGGACCTTTGAACTCTCCCGTTTAGAAATAAGGAACAAAGCTCCTATTTAACATTGAAACTCGAAGAATGAGTGAGATTTCGACGTTGCGAGGAAGAAACCTTCTGGTGCTGTCTCTGACTTGCGAACAAGCAGTCAATATACTTCTTATTATTATTATTATTATTATATAATAAAATGTCCTAGAGTATGAGTATCGTACAATAAAACTATATACATTATGGTTAGGCAACGTCAGCTCAATATTTGGGCAAGTTTTAGTATTGAATTGGAAAAGATCATATCTGCATCTAACTCCTCGAGAAATCACTATTTTATTGATTTAGTCGATTTAGTCCCTTTCAAGGGTGTTGAAGTTCTATTCAAAAATGAAAGCAATAAAAGTTTCCCAGTCCAATTAGCCCTGCCCTTGGTAAATCAAAATTCCACTTTGATCAATCTTATAGATAGAAGGCATATTAAGGAAAGAAGAGTCGTTGTAACATGAGCTTATAACATGTTTGTCTAGGAGGGCGAGATAACAATCAACAACATTAAACAATAATAAATTAAAATTTTGTCCACAATACCATCAGTCAGTGTAAGATTATTACATATCATCATTTTTATTTCAAGAGTAAACACACAAATGCATAGAGAGAGAGATTCTTTAGAAAAATCTGTCATCCTATTTCATCATTCAGCACTACACAATTTCAAGTGTAAACACACACATGCATACACGGAGAGAGAGAGAGAGAGAGATAGGGATTCCTTAGAAAAATTTGTCATACTATTAATTCTGCTTTTCATAACACATTCCCTGTTTGTAGGCCAAGTGGAAAGATCAAGAAACCTACACCTGGAAAGTGCAACAGAGAGAACGACTCTGATTGTTGCGTTGAATACAAGCTTTACTCCACCTACAAATCAAAAGGCTACAACCAGTACCAATCTAATAACATACTAGTAGAATTATTACTATAATTGCAAATGGGATGAGTGGTTGTTATGGTGGTTGATGAATGTGATCCTACTGTGGGCGGAGATGATGATCATGATTATCAGCCTCCATGTAATAACATGGTTGATGCATCAAAAGAAGTATGAGAAGCTTTGAGATTTCCTGAGAAAAAGAGGGGGTTGGATGTACAACACTTGGTCTGAAAACTATGCTGCACCACATTTGGCTTATGTAAATAAATTTTAAAATATGCAACTATTTTTGTTGGTCAAGGTTGAAAACTACCTAATTTGAAAGTTAATAGTTACTTTCAAGGTCGGTGATTTTTTTCACTTAGAAGAAAGAAAAAAACAACGAATTCAAACACGTTTGTAAATAGAAAGTCACAAACATAACCTGTACTCTTTTTAAGTTTAGCCAAACATGTACGTAAGCTTGTTACTTCTAATATGTACTATATTAGTTAAGGTTGTCCTTAAAAATTTGTTCCAATCTCTATCAATGGTGTAAAAGTGCATGTGACTACTCAAACCAGGAGTGCAGAACTGAATAAACAATAGTTCACCATTACAATACTGAAACATAGCATCCATATTGAAGTTATGAATTTATTTATACAGGCCAGCAACGAAATCAGTTTAACAGCAGAACCACCTTAGAATTGCTAAGAAGAGCCCCAAAAATGGTAGGGAGAGCCCAAAGGAAAAGTGTACTATAAAGAAAATTTCGATATTGGAATTTGTATTAGTGATTCTAGTTTATAGCTAGATGAATGAACCAGTTGGTGCATCATACACATTGGTGGAATTTTGGTAGAGAGGATGGGATAGCAATGAACAAAATCAAAGAAAACAAGAGAACACTCATGTTCATTGTACTACACAAATCCTGTCTAATTCTGCATACCAAACACAAAAATTACTCTGATGCATTACTCTTGTGATTCTAAATACCAATCATTCAAAAATACTCCAGTGCATTTCTCCTTTGCAGAGCCATGGCAATTTCAAATGCTTTTGAAATAAATATCTTTAGAGATTTGTCACTGAACATCGCACAAGCAGAACCCAATAATTACCGAAAGGAAAAAAGGTAATTGAACTGCACCACAAATAACTCGAACTCTGACACTCCGAAACTTGAAACAGAACAAGATGGATAAAAACAAAAGGTAATTCACATACTGAGATAGCATTGTGGTAACTCAAAAGTGCCAATTCATCGTCCCGCATTGTGGTAACTCAAAAAGTGCCAATTCATCGTGCCCCTGTACATTGCAATTTGCAACTCAAGAAAGGGTCATGTGGCTCACGAACCGACATAGCAACACGATGCTATAAAAATTATTATTTTTTATTTAAATAAGTTTAACTAAGGAACAATAGGATCACTACGTTCATTGACTTGTTCCCCAAAAAATCAGCAGTGCCAATGTCTAAAGATATGAGACAGCAGAATAGTACATGAAACCATTCACATTGCAAAAGAGATGGCCAAAACCGGCTTCAAAATTAACGCCGCATTGCCTTTGGTTGACCAAAGGTTTTACATCAGGCTCTAACAGAGTCATGTACCACTCCCACATCAATTTGATAATAAAACTTTTGGCATATAGCCCCTGTTTGAGCCTCATTCTTTGAAAAAAATACATTTTTAAATAGTATTTTGAAATCATTTCAACCACACATTCTTTAATAAAATAATATTACACGCAAATCTAGAACTTTTCCATAGTTTTTAACCACATGTTTCACATCAATATACTATTCAAAAATTCATTCATATGAAAAGAATGAAGCTCAAACAAGGGCATAATGTTATATGATAAATAATGCTCCTGTTTGATGGGGATTAAAATCAGATTTTGTTTGTAGGTCTTAATAAAAGATGATACAATGTATGGTTGTAAAGTTGTCGATCTTTGAAATATGTGGTTAAAATTACTTGCTGACTTTGACTTAAAATTAAAATCTTGATTTAATCCCACCAAACAAGGCAATATGTCCCAACTACTTTAAGAAGCATATAGTTGTTAATTATTACCACGGCAATGAAATGGACTATTAATTTAGGATTTACCCAAAACTAACAAAGGGATGCAATGACCTAATTTTCCTCCCTCAAATCAAAACTTATCGTCTCAAACTCGGACTAGACTTACATAAACTAAATCAATGACAATATGAGGTTTTGTCTGCACATTGATGTAAATTCACAAAACCACTTATCAAGTTACACCCCGCAAAATACAGAACCACTTGAGATTCTACCTCTCACACTTAAAACCACCAAGTTAAATACTTTTATCGACCATTCACCTTCAAAGAACCATATAGACAAGAGACAAGCAAGAAGTAATCACATAAATTTACAAGACGTAAGTAGCCAAAATCTCATTTCAAGAAATTTAAGTATTGGAACAAAAATGTTATCCAATTGTCTCATTCTTAAAGTTACATTAGAGATAATAGTGAACTAGGCACAACCATGGCTAACCTAAACACAATCAAACGCATATTTTCATTTTTAATAGAACCAACTCACTCGCTAATGATCTCATTTGTCAAGGTCCATTGCCTGGGCAGCTTTAGCTTTCGCCAATGGTGTCAATTTTGTCTTTAACTTCTTCTTTCCTACTTGAAATCCACTCCCACCCTTCTTCTTATTTTTGCTACCGTCCACCTAATCAATGCACAAATCAGATTAATAAATATCAAAACAGACTCCTACAAACCTGTTATAAAACTAGAAAGAGCCAGACCCCAAAAGCTAGTCAACAAGATTGGATAATCCAAGCCAATATAAACCACACAAAGGAAGTCCATACTTCTGATATAGGATTCAGGTGCCCATACACCTCAATGGAAAATCATGACAAATCACCGCGCTTCCAACTCAGCGTCCACATTGAGCAAGTGCTCATACACCTAAGTGGTAATCAAGACCAGAGGACATGATGCCTGCTCCAATGCCATTGTCATAGAATTTGAAATAGCCAGACCCAAAAGTTAGCTATTGAGGTTAGAGAACCAAGCCTATATAAACCACATAAACGAAGCAAATACTTCGGACGTGGAATTTAGGTGCCCATAATTGGAAACATGACAAAAACTTTCAAAAGAGTAACACGAATAACAAATATTTAAAAGCTTTGCAGAAATGATTTAATCCAAGTAGATTGATAATATCCCAAAAGAGAAGAAAAGATCCCGGCTTCCACAATTGACAGAGAAAAGTAACGATTACGGGATTCCTAGTCCAATAATAAGAAAATACTGCACGAAAAAACAAGATTTACAGTAAAAGGAAAGCTAGAATAAGGAAAAGGGAATTACTTTCATCTTATTTTTCTTGGCTTGAAGATTCTTTTCCTTCTTCTCTTTCTCTACTTTTTCTCCTATATTTTCAGTCCAAAACAAATACAAGAAACTTATTATACAATCTGCAGAAGAAAATCATATTTTACGTATATCAATTTCTCGACTACATTACTTCTTAGGTCAAATTCGTGCTGCCTTTTCCTGCGAGCTAGATCGTTCTTCTTCGACATTTTTCTGGGAGAGGCGCGCTGTCTTCTCGGTCCAATAATCGATTCCAAAGCCCTAATGCGTTAATTTAAAATGGGGGGAGATTTTTATTTATTTTCTCGATTGGTCCCTAGTTTTCAAATAATTTTAATTTTACAACAAACCTTTATTTTTTACTTTCCATTTTGCGTATATTTTAGTTTATATTTTGATATGGAATTCCATGTTCGGTTGTGCGTACTTTCAAGAAAAATTACTTCCATAGAATAAGTTTTACAATTATTTTTATCGTTGGAAGTTAAAAATAATATTTATTTTAATATAAAAGTAAGAGTTACTAGTGCCGAAAAAAAGGGAGATTTAGTGATGCGAACTGCGGGACAAAATATATAAAGTCGACATACTAGGATAGATTTGATTGCGGCAAGCACACATGCAATATATATAAGCTCGAATTAGGACATTATCTAAAACCCACAATTTTTATTTGTCGCACTTATATCTAATTTTTTTGTCTCATTTTTATCATTAATTTTCAATTATTCTATAAATGTGCTTTGAATGAGGTGATATTTTGTCTAATTTTTTTTTATTTTTTTATTTTATGTATGTTGTCTTTTGTTTATTTAAAATGATTTGATGCAAATTAGTCTATATGTGCCCTCCTAGTGGATATTTTGGACAAAAATGGTCACCCGGGACAGTATGTGTGTAATTAACGTAAGGTTGAAAATAACAACGTGATAGAAATTTTGAGACATGCTTGTGGTACTAAGCAAAGATTGGAAACCTTCATTTTAATTGAAACGTGATACAATAAACAAAAGTTGTAGTGTGAATACCTGTTCAGAAAACGTGTTAACCCTAATATTACAGGATTTAATCAAGGGGTCAAATAGATTAAATAACATTTCTCTGGTTTAAAAAAAAATTATTTAAAAATATTACGTATATCGAATTTAGTTTTCAAAACATATATCTTCCACAATAAACTTTCAAGTTATAAAAAATAAATGAGTGAGAAATAAAAAGAAAAGAGTAAATAATAGGACAACCGTATAGTGAGTGATTCAATTCAAGCTAATTTGAGCTTACTTTGACTCCCAAAAATTGTTTCTGGAATTTAACTCAACAACGACTAGAACATCAACAAAAAAAAAATTCTTTTAACTGACTGGGATGTCAACTTAAAGCAGCAACAACTTTGATATAACTAATGAACTGACAAAATATTCACACACCAAGGTGAAACTTCGAACTCGCAAAAATGTCTCACTTTATAGATATAAATTTTCATATCAATTTAGAAATTTTTTTACACAAAATTTTATAACTTCTATCTCATGAGGATAGAGTGGTTAATACTATTTGTACAAAGAGTAAGAGTATTTTCAAGAGACTCTTTAATCATAAGATACTCTCTATTGGACTTGGACTTAGCTAGGGCGGCCGTTTATCGTTGGCCATTGACTGTCGATAGTTAACGGCCGTATAGCGATGTCATTTATTAATATTAAATTAAATAATATTTAAAAAATTCAATCTAAATGTAAATACACTAAAACGTAAAAATCGTATATTTATATCATACTATAGTTCAATACAATTCGAAATAATATAAATTACATGATACATAAGGCTTTTATGTGTTATCAATGCTTAACAAATCGTTTGCTTGACTAAAAGTAGTTGAGAGATTAGATACACTACTACAAGAACTAGATTGTAATTCAGTTGAAAAAATCATTTCATAATCAGTATGAGAATTAAAAGTTAATATAAGATTAAACGTAATTAAAATTAATTTTAAAATATAATTAAATTTTCAATTTCCAATTCTCAACACAAATTCATCACAAATTATAAATTCCCCAATTTCTCATTTTCAATTTTCATAAATCACATATTCACGATACTCAAATTAATTTTTAATATCACAATTCAAAGTTAACAAATTCTCAAATAATATATAAATTAAAACTCAATGCTCATAAGTTATATTTTATAAATTATTAAAGTATAAAATATTTAAAACGACAAAAACCAACAAAAAAAATAGTCATTGACTCGTCTAGAGTCTTAACATAAACTATTTTGTTAAATTTAGATTTAAAATTCA